TCCCAGTCATCACAGTCAGGTCTGCAGTTACGGGCAGAACAGTTTTGAGGGCAGCTTCATTTACAGTGACATTTTTTGTCTTCTTAATGTGAGTGACAATCTCCTGCCAGGGGGCCAAATCCAGCCCACCCTGTCACTCTACATCCCACAAGCTAAGAGAGGTATTTACCATTCTAAATAATTGAAAAAAGACTAAAAGAGGAATATTTTGTGGCATGTGAAAATTATAAGAAATCCAAATTTCAGTGTCTACAAAGCTTTGGATTTTACCAAAAAAAATTTGTGAAAATGTGTTTTCTCTCTTGTTCTAGAAGCACCTGCATAATATTCTCAGGTTTTTTTGCTGGCCCACAATACGGACTATCTGGCCCTTTACACACAAAGCGTGCTGAGCCTGGATGAAAGCACTCACTCTGCACTCGAATCCAAGGTGCTCGGAGCTCCGCATCAACGTCAATGCCACCACGCCACCCAGGGACTTAGCTTGTGTGGCGCTCTGAGGGAAAGATGTTCTGCACGCAGAGAGGGCTGAAGCTGGGGGCTGGAAGGGCAGAGGGGCCCAGGCAGGACTCAATCAGGATGGGAATGACCCAAAAAAGAAAACGTGACAGAGAGGAGAGGAGAGGAGAGATGGAAACAGCTAGCAGTGGAAAAACCAGTTCGTTACACCCTTGGTGACATGATGTGATGAGGCCCTGTGTGGTCTCAGTTTGCTCCCCATGGGCAGCCTGGGCACTGGACTCAACACTGTTCATTGTAGCTCTTTCCCATGACTGAGCGATGGGTGCTGTACGGATGTTCTCGAGGGAGACAGAAGTTTGCGATGCTGAAAATGTAGCACCTGGCGCCCCCAAAGCTGCGCTGGACTTTTCTCGGCTTCCCTGGCCCCCTCTCTATGCTCAGCTGCCCCACCTCCCTCTCACCACCCTAGTTGTGCCCAGCCTCTGAGAACGGGCAGGCCACTTCAGTCTTGCTCTTTTGCCTTCCCTCTAGGCCTTCGGTTTCTCCCCCTTCCTGTGCAATTTAACTTTGTTCCGGCCAATCTCACATCCCCACACTAACTGCTTAACTCTGCCTTGAGGTCTACCAGCAAGCTTTCTCCTTGGGGACGGTCACAAATGACCTGTGAGCTTTCCCAGGCCCAGGGAACACTAGGGAGTGGGGAGTGTGGTGGTGCTGAGCGCCTGTTGCTGTTTGGAAGTCTTGGCAACGGCTGCTGTCTGCGTGGATTTCCGACACATGGGAAAGCAGATGTGGCTGAGGAAAATGGAGCCAGGGCCACGCCAGAGGAGATGAGAGATCAAAGCCAAGAGGGAGATTTTCCCTGGCACCTGCCAAGACCCAGTGCATGGAGCTGAGTCCTGGAAAACCTGCAAGGGTGACCTCAGAAGTAATCGTGACTGTGCCAGGCGAGTCACAGACAAAACTGCTGTGGTTCTGGGGGATGTTTGCACACCAAGGTTGTTCAGTCATTGTCAGGGATTTATCTAGGCTGCAGTTTACATTTGCAGGTGTGTCATGCAATGTGGCAACATCAATTAAGCGACCTAATGTGGCTTTGCTAAGAGCGATAGACCCGATAGAAGCAAAGAAGTAGAGGGCAGTGGGCAAATCGCCAAAGCTCCTCGCAGTGACCAGGTAAATGCACAGAAGAACTCTGCTTAAGGAGGAACGTGTTCCTGGGGGAACTGGGAGGACAACGGAGCCACCTGTGGAACCAAGGACAAGATGTCACCAAAGACTTTTCGACAAGTGCCCTTTCCTGGGAATACGCTATTGTAAGACAATGAAAGCTTATTTTGCCACCAGCTCCTTTAAGCAATGAAATCTTAGTGAGTAAAATAACCCTGATTAGCGCAGCACTACAGAGACGCCTCAAGGGTCTGATTTCACAGCCCCCCTGGACCTTCTCTTCAGGCAGTTACACATTTGCAAGAAAATCCTTTCTCTTTATGTGGCTTCCTCAGCTGCATCATTTTGTGAGAATTTTTAAGAGGCGAAACACAATAAACACCCACACTTTTATTTCTCTTATCTGAGATAGCGCTTGAAATTTCCAACTAATCTTTTAATATGGTTAATTTCTCCCCACTTCCAAGCCTCAACCATTAAATTTATTTTTAAAAGTAGGCGGGGGGGAGAACAGAGCTCCCTTGTGTTCTTCAGCAAGAGTGATTTGTAAGTTTCTAAAAATCCTTCCAGCCCTGCTTATTTTGACAAAGCTACTTAACACTTCAAGCAATGAACTACGGGGCATAAAAGTATAATCTGCAGAGAAAACCTTAATCCCCCATAGTAACCTATTTGAATCTCCTCAAACACATTGCCGTTTGTAGGCCTGGAGAATTGAGTCGATTGTTTGATCTGAGAAGAAAGGCAATTAGGGCTCTCTCTTGATCTTTCAGGTTGAATTCTAGTCAGGGGCAGCCCTGTTCTCAACAGCCCCATTTGATTTGAGACCTCTATTATTATAATAATAGAAGGGAGCTTTAGAATCACTGTCGTTAAGGGCCTTGCTGCATTTCCATCATGAATTGTTTTATCCGAGTTTCCGATTGCGATGGGCTAGTGGTGGGCATACAAGCGATTAGCTGCCTGTGGCTTTTTTCTTCTTAAACTCCATTGAAAACTTCTTCCTGAACCTGACAAATATTCCAGCAGGAAGGTAAGAAAACCTGGGAGACTGTAAGCATCTCTATGGGAGATGGGGCGGCTGTGTTCATTCACAACTGGGCTCTCAGGGGATGACAGGGGTGTCTGTGGAACCCCTGACAGGTAGGGCAACGATGGAAAACCTAGTTGGGGTGGCCTTGTAAGAAGACGGCCTGTTCTGTCCTTATTTGCTAACAGCAACTCCTGAATTTCTACACAGAAGCAGCCATCTAGTTGGAGGTGGCAACTCAGAGTTGCGTTTACATAACACGATATGAAATTGAACAAAGATCACTTGTCCATAGCAAGGAATATTGGAGAGGGAGTTGCTGCTGGAGATTATGGGGTCAGGTGACTAAAGCCTGTCCCAAGCCACCCATTGGTGACGTCACTGATGGCCAAGCCTCCCTCAGGCTACTGCGGCTCTGTGTCATCACCTAGAATGAAGCTCCTGGAGCTATTGTCTGCTCTTCCATTTCTGTGAGCTCCCCACCTCAGAGAGGTTTGAGCGCCACAGCTTCGAGGAAGACAAGAGGACGAGCTCCTCTGCTTCCTGCTGAATCCCACTGGGGCGTGCTGTCCTGTTCTAGCACCTTGTTCTCGGCCAAGTCCAAGCACAGAACGGAGAGGGTGCAGAGGCTCCAGCCTCCAGTGAGTGGGTCGGTCTCTGCACCGTAGGCCCAGAATTCCTGCAGGAAGGTTGCTTGGAGGAAGCTGTTTTAAGGTCACTGAAGCTTGTGGAAAGGTGGCAAGGAGCAGTCTGGTTATTTTCCTTCAGCCAATAGTCAGCCTAACTCATATTCTCCCCGCCGAACCCTTGGATGGAAATGTCCCCCCCCACACAAGCTCCCTCTCATCTTCAAAGTCTAGTTATCTCAAGTACTACCTATCTGAAGCCTTCCCCGTCTGGCCTACTCTCCCTCTTTCTCCTCCCAGTCGCACTGAGAGGCCCTTTGTCTGCAGATGCACCATCACTTAATGTCTCCCCAGAGAGACCTCACACCTCCACGAATAACAGCACTTAACACAGGTGGATTAACGAACGATTTTATACTCTTGCTGCACTTCGGTGATCAGAACTGGAAGGTGAGAAGACTGGGTTGGGCTGGGCAGGAGGCAGGGTAGAAACCGCGGTCAGTGGCCTGTGGAGTTGTCTGTGTGGCTAGGTACAGAAGCTGGTTGCTGGCGTCACAATTACTCTACAGAGCCAGCAGGGCTGATCTGCTCTGATGGTGTGTTTGCTGGGTTTCAATGCAACAGGGACCTAGTGTCTTATAGACTGAACTTCCCCAGGTTTCAAGAGCCATTAATATGGAGAGAGGGCCTTAAAAGGGCCAGAATACTAATAAGTGGAAAAGTCAGAGTCCAGTAAAAAGTCCTCAACAATACCTTAGCTCTGGCATTATTCTGATGCACATGCAAGACTAGTGAAAGTGCTTGTTTAAAAAGAAGTTCAAAAATGTCCCTTGCTTTTTGGATTTTTAATCATAACATTTTCAAGAACACTTGATGAATCCAGCATTCTTTCCCTCCCAGTACTGCTATCTGTGGGGAGGAGGTAGGCAGGACAATCTTTTCTTACAGGCACCATCTTACACTTTTATGATTAACAAATTAAAATCCCTAGCAAGGTCCTCTCTCTCTCTTCCCTCTAATGTGTGCATGTGTGTGCGTTTTGTTCACTGCTATAGCCCCAGGGCTTAGAACAGTGCCTGAAATAGGGTAGGTATCACTATATACCTGCTAAAGTAACAAATGAAAACACATTCAAAAAAAAGTTTTGTCTTTATTTATAAGAAACCAGTATGTTCAGTTTAAAATAACATTTTTTTAAAAAGTCAGTCTTGTAATGTTAGCCCTTTGTTGCAGGGACCACTTTGAACTGATGAGACCTATGGCCCCTCGCTTCCAGCTCCCCACCCCTCCCTAAACCCAAACACGCACATAAAATTTCAGGAGGTTCTGAGACTTCCCTGAATCCATCCCTAAACTTCTTAAAGGTTCTACTGAACCCAGGGTGAGAGAGCCTGATTCAAAGTGTTGTCTGGCTTAGAATCATGATTTTGCCCCATCCTAATGACTTAAAGCATATGTGGCTCATGTATGTCGTTCCCCCTCCCATTAGCCATTTAACGTTAAAGGGACTCCATCTACAAAGGACTCACTTCTTAGAGAATGTTAAGTTCAATATTAGCAGCTGAGAACTTGATAAACATCCAGATGAAAGCTAAAAAATCTAGTTAATAATCCAGAGATTTCAAAAAATATATGTTAGTATAGTCCAAGTATCTGGTAAAGTGAATTTTTCACTTGTCAGCTGAAAGCCAGGAGACAGAAAAACAGATCTATTCCATACAGAACATTTTAAATTTTATTATTAAAAAAAATAAATAAAAGGGAGAATATGCATATCCACTAAAGTAGTTTTCCATTAAATAGAAGAGAAATCAAATACCTGGTAATAAAGACTATTTGGTAAAAACAGAATATAAGATCAGTAAAACAACAATAGCGATTTGACTTTGGGTTTTATTTCAACAGGCACACTTCATTCACTGTCTGTAGGAAAAGTAGGGTACGTCTCAATGGGCAACAGTCACAGTTATTAAGAAGTAAACACGCCACGACTTCAGTGTCCTCCTTTATTTCTTTATGTCTTCGGTCTCATCTGGCTCTTTTTCTTGATGTTCTCTTTCCCACCTCATTTCTTTTAACTCTTGTCTGTATTTCCGTTCAATGAACCGCTTCTGATGGGCCATCTGGGGAAAGTTATCTGACACGAGGAGATATATTTTATACTTAATAAAGGACAGCCACTGGTGCAAAGAATGGTGCAAACTAAACATATACACATACAAACACATCTTCATATGGAATATACTCAGCTGGGTTTTGTACGGCAAGGAAAAAAACACACTGCTCATTTCCCCCCTTACTCTTTTAACATTCAGAAAGAAACACGCTGGAAGTCTGGCTCGGCACCCCCGATGCTGGACTGCAATGTATGATGCGACCTTGAGTATAAGCAGCACTGAGGCACACAGCAATGTCAACACAGACATGCGGCTAAGGATGACGCCGGGTAGGCATGTTAGCACAGCTCTTAGCAAGAAGTGATTTTCAGGAAGAGAGTAAAGGATATAGCACCATGGCGTTGTATATTTTCACAAAGCTCAAACCAAAAACTTCAAACCAATAATGATATTGTCACACCATTATTTACCAAGAATTAAAGTTTCTGAAAATAGCAAAAAAAGACCAGATGGACAAAAGGTGACTACTGCTGATGGTTCTGTTTTTAAAGTTCACCATGAGAAGCCCAAAGCTGCACCAGCAACAGCAACTCAAGTAGAGCACTTGTACTCGGTTAAAGGAAACACATTACTCAGGGGCATAGCCAAAGCCAGTTTTAGTTTGATATTTGACCCTGTGCAACAGTCGAAATCTCGATTAAGATTTTTAAATCTTACAATTCATTTGTGGTCTATAACGAGTGCAGCAATGGAGTGAGAAATCGAGCATGGAATGAGAAATAGTCATTTTACTCTCTTAGTCAACAAACACACCCCTCAAGACCAAACGCCACAACAGGAGGCAAGCACAAACGAGAGCAACAAGTTATCCGGGCTCACAGGAAAAACCGCGCGGCCCTGCCGAGCCGGCAAGGGACTGTTAGATACTACAAGAGGACTACTTTATGTCTAAAAATAGGAAGATTCAGAGATGTGAGAGAACACAGCATGCGTGGGGAAAAGCAATTCTGTTTTTTGTTGAGATTGAAGCATAATAATAGTGAATATAAATATATGCTGTATTCCTAAATCCCCCCTTTTATAGGGCATCCGATCCTCACTCCAAATGAGAGAAGGGACAGGGACAGGGTGGTGGGAAAAGCTTCTGAAAGGCAGGTGGTGAATCAGCAAAGATCTTGAATATCTGAGATTCAGGGATTTTAAAAATAATGGCATCTGTATTCTAGAAATAAAATGGTAATAAAATCCTATCCCCCAAATGATATTAAGCTGATTCCTTTTGTACTGTATAAAACACGGGTTCCAAGTATTATAAGTACTTTTAAAGATAAAAATCAAACAAATTTCAAAAAGCTAGCCATGGAGCAAGTTTCTACAAATAAAGCTTACTTCCTCAGTAACTTCTATTGTAAAACTTAATCTACCTTTTTTTAAAAATCCCATTACTCAGATCTAATCACTGAAAAACTTTTAGAATATCCTTACAGCCCTTTTCCTATCAAGTCCAGTTATACTCCACATATACATGCACACTGTAAATGTGCATATGTATTACACAGACACGCAACATGTAAAAGCATCCTCCCTTACCCTGAGAGTACAGTATAGCATGTTTTAGGGATACACTTTTTTTCACTTATTCTAGGACCAGCATTTTCCCATATCATTAGCCTTTGAAAAAAACAGGGTTGGGCAAAAGTAGGTTTACAGTTATTCTTATGGAAAATAATTCAATAAGTAATACAAGAATAAACTCCGTGTTTCACATACTCTCAATTATAAACCTACTTTTGCCCCACCCTGTAATATTTTTAAAAATATGTCTTTATTGATTTTGGAGAGAGGAAAGGAGAGGGGGAGAGAGAGAGAAACATCAATGATGACAGTCATTGATCGGCTGCCTCCTGCACGCCCCCGACTGGGGATCGAGCCCGCAACCCGGGCATGTGTCCTGACTGGGGATCGAACTGTGACCTCCTGGATCATAGGTTGATGCTCAACAGCTGAGCCACACCCCCTGGGCTGTAATTTTTTTTTAAATATGTTTTTATTGATTTTTTTTGAGAGAGAGAGTGATAGAGAAATAGGAACATCGTTGAGAAAGGCATTATCGATCAGCTGCCTCCCGTATGCCCCCACTGCCCCTACTGGGGATCGGGCCCACACCCTAGCATGCGCCCTGACCAGGAATCGAACCAGGGACCTCTCGGTTTATGGATCCACACTCAACCACTGAGCCACACCGGCTGGGCCCCCGTAATATTTTAATGGCTGCACAATATTACAACATTTGAGTAAAGGAAGGGTTGGTAAACTNTCAACCATTGAGCCACACCGGCTGGGCCCCCGTAATATTTTAATGGCTGCACAATATTACAACATTTGAGTAAAGGAAGGGTTGGTAAACTATTGCCTGCAGGCCAAATACAGCTTTCCACCAGTTTCGGTAAATAAGATGTTACTGAAACACAGACATTGCTCACTGCCCACTACCCATGCCTGTGGGCTACAGTGGCAGAGCTGAGTAATGGGACAGAGACTATACGACCTGCAGAGCCTAACTAATTAAAGAAAATGTTTGCCAACCCCTGGGGTATACCATAATTTATTTAAACATTTCTCTACTATTAAACACACAGTTTAATTTATCTATTTCTTTTTTAGCTCTTATAAATCAAGCTGTCACAGTACAATTGCTTCCTTAGGTTTGACTCCTGGAAATAAAATCCCTGGATCAAAGGGCATGAACTTCTGCAAGGACCTGACACCGCCGAAGTGCTTCCCAGCCACTGAAACAATTCAGCCCTCCCAGGATGTGTGTGAGGCAGTCTCAGAACAGGCTCTCTCCACTACTGCTTTATCCCTGAAAGCAAACCAAAAACTCTAAATATAACCTTTAATGATCTTATAGTGGAAAATGGAATCTCACTGTTATTTCAATAAGTGATTGTGCGTTTATATATAATAGATGGAAAAGCCCCCCCCGGTCAGCCGACACTGTCAGTGCAGCTCCCACGCACTGGCACCACCGCCAGCTCCCGCCCACGGCCGCCTCCTCGCTCCTCCCTGCCCCGGAAGCTGCGGGCCGCTGGTTTCCCCCGGCGGCGGCCCTCTGCCCCTCCTGGCGCGTCTCCCTCGGCTGAGAATCTGGGCCCCTGCACTCTCAGCCTCCCACACTGCTCTCTCCCACCTTTAGCAGGTACTTGGAATATAATCGAATTGCCTGGTCATGTTTTGCCCACAGGTTCTGCTGTGCAGCACAATACACCTCCGAAGAAAAACTCCTTGCATTTAACCTTCAATTTACAAAAGACTATGCAGTTCCCTACATGGCCAATTATGTGAGTGAAGTTTCTTAACCCATCCATCCTACTCTTGGGAATCTCTCCCACAGAACTAAAAGCACAAATGTATAGACATTTATTGTCGACAGTGATGAAAAACCAGAGACAAAGTGTCCACCAATAATTAAAATAAACTACAGCACATTCACAGCACAAATTATATATAATGCAGACTGCACAAAATGAGCAAGAAAAGAAAGATTCACAGAAGTATATAAATATCATCCCATTTTCATAAAACAATGGCCAAAAACTAAAAAGAAAAAACCTTTGCATGTATAAGACTTTAGAAATCTACGGAAGGAAATACATCAGGTTGTTCACATGAGTTACCTGGGCTGAGAGAGTGACTCTATGCAAAAAAGGAAAATGAACATCAGAGGCACTCAGGAACCCTTTTATAAAGTTATAAGCCCATTTTACACATATCTCACATTCTACTGCACTCCTTGTGAAGACTAATTATGGAGAAAAGAAGATCACACTTCATCAGTACTTACCATTTTTCTATTTTCCCATTTTCCTTCCATAAAACACTCATTACATTATGAACATATAATTATAGAAAAAGAGACAGGCTTACATTTTTCAAGTGCATCCATTGCTGCTCCCATTTCCGCTTGCTGAATACTGTTAAATAAAACATAGGTAAGGTACACTTTAATTTAAAGACCTTTTTCAAAAACAAATGGTGTGGCTACAAATTATTCAGGCTGATTTTCATGTTTGGTACATAAACCTTTATCCGATTACTTCCACTGTCACGTACTGAATTGCGCAGATAGGAATATACGCAAGGGCATGCAGAAATGTCATTTATTTGCACAAAGCCTGTTTAAGTTATTCGTTCCACACTTTTAATACTGCAATGAAATGCCTTCCATTTATATTACGTTTGAAGTATTTCCTACTTAAATCTGAACATCCTCAGTGTAAAGCTTAAAGAGGCAAAGAGTAAAAATTATATGTATAGACAGACTTCTAATCATTTCTCAGTTTAACACATAGATTAGAGGGTTCAAAGAAAGGTGAAAACATACATAATTATTTTCACCTGAAGGTGTTAGCATTTCCACAAAGCTCTGGTAGCACCAAGAGATCAAATGTCTAATGACTATCACACAGGATGCTTCTTAAAATGCTTCCAGCAATGTCGGGTTCTGTGCTGGGCAACTACAACAGGACAGCCTTTACCTGTGTACCAGGTGATGTGGTTTTCTCAAGGTAGCCAAAGCCCCGTAGCCAATGGCATCCCCACCGTGCAAGGCAAACGGTCAAGTTTGGGGCTGGGCTTGGTGGGGACATTAATCGTTGGGGTTCACTTTATCACCTTCTAACGGTCTATACTCTAATTTAAAAGAGACAGACTGCAGAGATGGAAAACGCCAAGTAAGGACTTCGCAGGTACACAGGACGTTCACGTGAAGAAGGCAGAAGCATCTTCTCCTACCTTGGTCCTTTCCCACAGCCTATTCTTTCTCCCTTGAAGTAAACAGCCACGGTGTAGGTTCTAGCATGGGATGGCCCCACCGTCTGCAGAGTCCTGAAAGGGAAAGGGAGGAAGATTAATTCTGGGAAAGTGTCATTTAACTGTTGTTGCTAATATGGAACTACAAGAAAAACATGTAGTTACTGCTTAGGCAGAGGAAGGAAAAATAATAGGAAAATTAAAGGAGTAAGTTTTTATTTGCTAAGCCTGACAAATATAGAGAGCTTTTGATATAGAAAAATTTAAAAATTCTAACACTGGATTTATATACATCTTTTCCCCAAAGTATAAATAGTATAAGTTATAAATAGTATCTGAAGGCTAACAGTGAACTGTAAAATATTTTTAAGCAATTCTGAAGTCTGCATATTCCAAGTATCATAAAATGAACAAACTTTTATCAGTGAAAAGTGAACCATTTCAGTCTGTTCATTGTTTTTCAGTGCTTATCACAGCTAAAAACAATAAATACCTGGGCAATACACCTCAAGCCATGTCTGAATGGCTTCACATCCTTTATGGGTTCTTTCTGATGCCTGTCATCCTAACTGAGAGATCAGAAAATCTATTTAATTTCTGAAACATCTGAGATCATTTCAAAGGTATGCTATAATGCCGAGCACACAAGGCAACTGCCAAAAAACAAAACTCTGGGTACTCTGGATTTCAGTGGCATGGTGCAGATCTCAGATGTGGGGAAACTGATAACTTTGTGGAAAAGGGAAATTAAAAGTAGCCAACAGAAGATAATGGAATGAGCCCATTAATCTTGAAAAAGCTATGTAAACCACCCCTTCGTCTCGATGAAGAACATGCTCATGGCGTGCTTTCATTGGGCATCTATGAGAAGGGAGCATTCGTTTCCTCAGGTTCACATTCTCCACGGGATGACAGCACACGGTGGCTCCTGTGCGCAGCACTTCTTAGAGTAATCATGCCTGCTTCGGCACGTTTATCATCTTTGTTTTATTTCCTGAACCTTAATTATCACTTTGATAAGGAAGTACTCCGAGCCTTTCATGTAATACAGTTGGGATATTCATTACGCTTATTAGGCACATATTAAAGCACTATTTCTAAATACTGAGAGTTTACTTCTTGATAAAGGAAACATTGTTTAGCGGTGACAACTTCTTGGGACAATTTATAGTAGCTTGCTGTGGGGTGACATGAATTTCTCTCGGCCTATTTTTCTTTTAGCAAGAAAGCCTATATCATGTTGTGACAATTAAATAAAAACATATAAAAGGATTTAAAACTCCCAGCTGCCGCTTGGTGTTTTTCCTCTAGTATCCTGCCGTTGGACAAAGTCCACAGGAGGGGGCTTCTACTCCATATGGAATAGCTCACACCAATGTGTGTGCCCGCAACCCTGTGTGTACAGGCAAGGGGCAAACCGGTAGAGACTGGTTTTTTAAACATCCTCAAAACGCACATCCAGGTAATGCCTTGGAAGGACATCCTCCTACTTGGGTAACTGTGCCTTTCTGTAATTCCTCTTTGAAGCCATCTCTGAATCAGGATAATTACTAGACTTCCAAGTCAAACCTGCTGTTTTCCATCGAAGCCCATGCTATGTGTTTGGTGACCTGCAGTCGTTTAGAACTTCTGGATATCACTCAGAGAATAAAGATTTGTCACTAAAGATATTCTAAGTAGCCGGCAGCTATTGCTACATGTTCTGAGAAGAAAAGTTTCAAATATTTGAATAACGCAGCAGCAGTGAGGAATTGCCCAGTTCTTACAGTGACCGATCTGAGAGCACATCTGTCAGGCCACAGGGAGAGGCTGAGAGGAGCGCAAGGAGGTAGAGGGACACCCAAGTCCTGTCACAAATTAAGCAGACACATATTCTAATCCAGACGCACAGCAGAAGTTACAGGAAATAAGACGACAAATATAAAAATGCTTATAACAACTACTGCATCTGAATTGTTCTTATCTCAGTCTCCTAAAGTTAGTATGTCTTCCTCATAGGGAGGAATTTAAACAGCATTTTAGAGATGGGAAAAAGCTTAGATAATCAAATGTGAACCACTTACTTTGAGCTGTAAGACTGAAAGGTCCACAGTTTCAGTGTTGGGCCTACTCAGAGTTGAGAGATCTCAATCCAGGACCTCGTTCACCATCACACACAGGGACGAGTTTTCCCTCCAGGCAACCAGAGCGTCAGCTCTAAACTCAGCGAATCTGATGGGCTGTGGGGTGCGAATACTCACTTGTACAGAGGAATGTCTGGCTCTTTTCCTTCCGTCCTAAGTGTCAAGCAACACTGCTGAAGCTGGGATTTGGGGTCATTCCAATCTTGATTCAAAATGAACTCCTGTAGCAAGTCCCCAAAAAGCATTTAGTAACGGGTTCTGAGATCACCACACATAAAGCATACAACCAATTTAAATTTTACGTGAGCTTACTTTTAATCGTGGAAAGAAACAAACATTCATGAAAGTATGAACATATTCCAAATCCTTGTCGATGTACAGTGCTGCAATAAATGCTGAAAAAGAGAACATTTAAAAATCAACAACAATGCATGGCCATTTACCAGAAAGAGCAAGAGGCCGCCGGTTAAAAAACGTTTTATAAGGTTTTTGGCTTCCAGGCCCTCTTTATTTTTTAGGATTAACTATTTCATCTTACTCTTTACCACTAATATTAGAAGCAACAATACAGATGTGTGACTAAGATGCAAAGTTATAGAAACAAAGACCAATTTACCTTTGGCTGAGGACTAAATAATGTTAGTTAAAAGGAGAGACTAAATGCTACTGTACGGCAGGGGAAGAATGCTATCTGGAACACAACCATGCTACCATCAAATCGATCAAAATAAAACTTGAAGATCAGATATGATACCAGAATAAGCACAACCTTGGGGCCTGCCATTCTCAACACCAGTCTTGAAGAGGTCACCCATTTACAAGGGTCTGTTATATTTTAGGAACAGAAATGAGACAATTCATAGATCCAATCTGCCCAAACACAGGAAAATGTAATACTGGGCTTAACGACTATAACAATATATCTAACTTTCCATTAATAAATGGTGACAACTTCATTAAAAGGTACCTTAACCAAGTAAACAATTGGCAAGTTTTTAAAAGAAGAAATAAAAATAGCTTTCATTGAGCTTAAAAAAAGCCATTGAGAATGATCACTAAACTTAATTTTTTAATGATTTTAATCTTTAAGTTACTTTTCTTTCATTGAAAAAGGTTTTTTAGATTCCTTAGATTGCCTTTGCACTTCGTAAAAGAGCAGCTTTTGAATGGTAGACTTTAATATCTATATGTAATTCCAATTGTCAAAAATAGCCTAACATTAAAAAGTTCCAAAGTCCGGTGTATGGCCCGCTTATTTTTAAGTTGTAACAGAAACAATGAATTATGTGTATAATCCTTTAGTTAGCTATAATAGGATTATTCATCATGCTAACAGACCATATCAGAAAGTGTAAAAGATAACATTTGTCCAGAGAGCTTTGAGCTCATTCAAAACAATGGTTAATAGCTTTAGTATTTAGTGAGTAAATTATCCTTCTTTCTTCTACGCCCCTTTATAAAGGCTTCTGGGTGGCAAAACAGAAGCTCTGATTCACTGTTACCCATCTTCATGTTCCGTTAGTGTTTCACACGGGGACGTGATGGCTGAGCACTGGACGGAGGGGCGTGGAGGGGGTGGAGGTGGCACCAATGAACACACATTAAACATATAATTCATTATGCACATGTGTTAATTACAAATTATCCTCCTTCAAATGAGCTTTGGAGGAAAGCTTAAATAAAATTAAAATAGGAGAGGTTTCAGAACACAATAATAATGAGAAAAGGAAGGATAGATGCTGGGCCTCCTGATTTACACTCTGAATTTGCAGGTTAAGAGAAAAGCTTCGCACTGTGGGACTCACATTCCAAAAGGTCTGCCAGCGTCTTGGTCCTGAGGGCCACGGGCCGCTTGGTCTTGTCGTTGGTGATGGCGTATTCCTGCATACCCAGCTCCTCCGCCACCTTGGCCTGAGTCCTGTTGTTCACCAAAGAGCTTCGCAGCAACTGGCCAAAGGAATGGGGGTACATTCGGAAACCATTTCACTTTTGGTGTCTCCCTTGTTCCTGGTGTTGGGACCAAGCAGCCTGAGACCATTTCACTGACAGGGACACTGGGGGAAGAGATCACTCACATCCTCAAATACCCCCACTCAGGCAGCCGTGACAAACTCCATACGCTTCGAGCTTCTCCTTAATAATTTACTCTGCTCCTGGATTTTACCTAACTGACATTTAAATAGTTCAATTAGTTGTTTAGCTGCAGCGACCAGTGTTGTAGGGGATGCTGTACTATTTTAAAGGTCAGAGCTCCCATTAAGTTTAATGCTATTAAAAGAAGGAGCATTAAAAATTTTTTAAATCCACTTTGCTGAAGTATAATTTACATTCAATAAAATGGGCCACTTAAGAACAGTTAGATGAGTTCTGACAATCTTCTATGTTTCCATCACCCCAAACAAGCTCCCTGTGGCCCTTTGCAATCAGCTAATACAATCCACCTCCCACCCAGCCACTCAGCCTGTTTTCTGGCGCAGCATATTAGTTTTTAAAGAGCATTTTTAAAAGTCTAAAGTAAGCTTCAAGTTTCACGGCACTGATGCTAATTTTGATAGTACAGTATTTAAGGAAGTGATGTTTTAGTATTATTTAAAATACTTAGGTTATTTACTACATTTTAACTTTTATTACTTTAAAGATTTCTACTCCATATCCTGAGTTACAGTTTTTCAACAGAGACCCCTTCTCTCTAATCGAAGGAAAATATAATTTTCATATTTCAACTTCAGGAATTCAAAACAAAAATTTCTACTAGGAACTGCAGTCAGCTAAGTATCCTCCAAGAACTATCCAAGTAGCAACACTAAGCAGTGTGTGAAAATTACACAACCAACCCATAAAAGAGGTGCCCATAAAACACGCTTGGTTTAGGAATCGTAACACTCACTAACCACTCATACTAGGGGAACAGGCGAGGAAGGTGCACGGCGGGAGGGGTAGATACAAAGATGAGAACTCACCAAACAAAAGCCAAACACAAGTGTCCCCAATCTCTAAGATTTGGGAGAAGAGTATACCAACAACTAGGACTTTTCTTACAACAGACATAACAAATTCTTCTACTATTACAATTCCTCACTGTTAAGGAACATCCCCGATGCCAGGACCAAGGAGCGGGAAGCAACTTTGAGCGGGGCTGGTTTTACATCACACCCCTGCCGCTCCACACCGCACTTTATTAGATGCAAGTTTTATGCTCTGTGGCTCCACCGTGTCAACTAAGCTTATGAAAATCAAGATTTATTCTCAATGCTTGAGATTGCATCCTTGACAATAGATAAATAAGAAACAATATGTTCTTAATTTGTCTGACAATGATTCATGAAGCAGAATTACAACTTGATCTTCATAAGCCAGGCTTGCTGTCGAGTTACAGACAATTATTCTTTCTGTCTCTGCTCCCTTCCTCCTATTTCCTCCAACTCTATCTTTTCTTTAATATAGTGTTTCATTAAAATTAATATCCACAGAGAAGCTCAAAATTAAAAAGGCCTAGCATATAGCATTAACGGGAGACCTGACCAATAGGGAGTCCACCAGCCTAATATCTTATAATTATAAAATAATTGAGCCTGGCCGGGCATGGCTCAGCGGTTGAGCATCGACCTAGGATCTAGGCGATTGGGGTTCAATTCCTGGTCAGGGCACATGCCCAGGTTGTGGGCTCGATCAATGACTCTTTCATCATTGATGTCTCTCTCTCTCTCTCTCCCCCCCCCCCTCCTTTCCTCTCTCTGAAATATATCTTTTAAATAAAGATATATTTAAAAAACAACAAAAACCGAGCTGGAAGGGAGACAGCTTTTTTGGTTTGGATTTCTAATGGGAGGGGCAGGGTTCCCCAAGACAAGGCCATGGGGGAACAGGGGAGCTGTTTTGAGAATATGGCTATGCTGGGTCTCTCTCAATATTTGCTTTGGTGAGAGGAGAAAATCCTAATTTAGGCTGCATATATGGAGACTTCAAGCCTCAGAATCAACAAGCCTGATGTACTCAGGAGCACACAAGAGCCACAGCACATCACTGGTCACCAGGCCCCAGGGCCACCTGCCCAAGTAAGGGCTCCACTCAGTGCTGGGCAGTAATGCTGCCTGAGGGGGAAGGAAAAAAGCAGTGAAGATGGAAACAGAAATGCTCCTGTTGTACTTGAAATATGCCCTGATGGGTCGTAAAGCAGCATGACGGCCAGCAGAAAGTGAGGTCTTCAAGTTCTTGCCAAAACTCAGAGCCTGAACCCAAAGTCAGTGGGAAAAAAAGAGGCTAAAAATCACCTGTATTTTTAGAGACAGTGCAAATGTAGGAGATGAGTTGAAAAGAGGTTCTTTACCTAAACAAAAAAGCCCAAATGACAGTTCTTTAAATGACAGCTTCCATCCTTGGCCTTGGCTGAATGAACCTTCGGAATGAACCGTGCTGTCTGCCAACCCCTGGGATCAACGGGACCACAAGGAGGAAAGAGGCCACCGGAGGTCACGGCAGGTCAGTGCACAGCAGTGGAGCCCCAGGCTGTGCGAGGCCCGGGGCTGAGAGCTGAAGATCACAGGATAATCAGCAACCACTGCTGCCCCCTGGGGGCTGCTGACCTCGGAAGGAATCAGCACACTGGGGAAGCTGTGGTGACAGCACAGGCCGCAGGGCCGGGTGCTCCCCTCCACCCCAGCCTTCCAAAGGCCCCTGGGGGACCTGACCCGTGAACAAAGGTCTCAGAGGCTCACTGCCCCAGCTCTGATATCAGAATCATTAGGCACTTTTGAGATGTGGTGCTCAGGCCTCTTCCAAGAACCAAGGAATTAGAATTTCTGGGGATGTAACTTGGACATAGGCATTTTTAAAAATTTCATATAGCTGGATTCTGATTAATATCGAATCGGAACTGAAAAAGAATGGGTCTGCCAGTGGGAGGAGGGTGGGTGCTATGGTCTGAATGTTTGTGTCCCCACAAAATGCATATGTTGAAAACCCAAAGTCTAAGGATGATGATGGTATCAGGACATGGAGCCTTTGGGAGGTGACTGTCATGAGGGTACAGCCCTCATGAATGGGATTAGTGCCCTTATAAAACAAGCCCCAGAGAGATCTCTAGCCCCTACCACCATATAGGGTACAATGAAAATTCTGCATTCGGAAGAGGGCCCTCACCTGACCATGCTGGCACTGTGACCTTGAACTTCCAGCCTCCAGAACTGTGAGCAATAAACTGCTGTGGTATTTTGCTGCAGCAGCCTGAATGGACTGAGACAGTGGGAAAAGGTTTTCCAGGAAGAGGGAACAGCTCTGGTGAAAGCAGGGGGCCAGGACACAGCAAGGTGATTACTCGATGGAAGAGGAAGAGAACCCAGAGCCAAGTGGAGGGAGCTGGTGCAGGTAGGGCTGGCAAGCCTCTGGGCAGAGAGTCTTGCAGCTGATGTAAAGAAATCTGTACTTTCCTGCAGAAGGGAGGGCGGAATCCCAAAAAGTGTCAAAAGGGAGCAGTGGCAAAGAAACTTTTTCATTTCAGAGAGGTCGTTCTGGTGGATGAATCTGAATGGAGCAAGACATGAGGTTGGAAAGCCTGCAGATGTTGATGCTATAAATATATGCTTCTTATTTTTTAGTAGAAGTCCAGAAAACAAACATTAAGCACCCAAATGGGCATGAGATAGTTATTAGACTATTTTGCAAACATTGGCTCATGATCATGATAGGTATGTAGTAAAAAGCAAAACATTCGGCGCCAAGCTGCCTGGGTTCAAACTGTGGCCCTACCGCTTCGTGGCTAAGTGACCCTGTATAAGTTAGTCTCTCTAAGGCTCAGTTTCCATATCTATAAAATGGGGAAAGTAGCACCTGCCATACAGGGTGGTGGTGAGAACTGGAGAGAATGAACATACATCCAAGTACAATGACCAGCACGTAATGAACACACAAGCACTGTTCGCTGCCATTCTTACTCACAGTAGCACCATCGTTAGCTAAGATATACTTCCTTTTTGGTTACAGGAACAGGATTACAGAAAGCTCTAGGAATTCCTCTGAATTCATCTCCAATGAAGAATGTTCCAAATACCTGTCCACTCGCTGTCTTCAAATCTCTCCATTTCACCGAATGCTAGGCTGCCTTTCTTTTTAAACACTTCCCCTCCAAAAACAATTTCACTTAAAATCACCAGAACCAGTAAAGCAAGCTGTAGTTTGGGCTCTCTGTTAAGCTGAGAAAAAAGCTGCTTGAGTTCCTGATGCCATGGCAGGGACCCACATAAATATCACAAATCTCAACTCTGTTTTCGAGAATTCAGTATGTTTTCTATTATCTCAGCACAGCAGTCTTTTATAATTAGTTTAAACTTAAACTTTAATGAGGAAAAGGTTTATTGGTTTAAAACAAATAAGAAAAACATATTGGCATTCTTCCTTCAATCACTCTCTCCATCCTTGATGCTAAAGAGGAACCCGCAGCTGTGGGACATGAGCTACCAGAGGGCCACCTAGTGTGAATTAAGTAGACTGTGATTATTATTTGGAGGACTTTAATATAAGAGCATGGGGTGAGCGCAGAATATATTATTAGAAGTGACAGTGATGTGCCACACAGGTCTATTATACCAAGAGTGTAGCCAGATGGTCTCCATTTCCCGGGATAACTAAAGAAAAGGTAAACACAAATGCTAGCAGGCAGGATGCAAAAGCCAAATTATACCAGTGACAGCAACTTGTACCCAGGAGGCTGTGGAACCCATCCTCTCAAGGAGATCTTGTGCATAAGACACCATTTGTCTGAATGATTTATGCTTAGTGCCGTCTGGAGGTGGCAAGAAGAGATTAGATCGCTGGTTTTCAAACTTTTTATTTGTAATCCTTTTTTTCTCATTTTCCCAAATCATCCCACTAAAAAGAAAAATGCCTGCAGGTTCACCCTGCTGGTGCGTGCCGCCACTGGGCACAGTCCCTTGCACATGGTAAAGCATGGG